AGTTCTTAATCAAATGTTGAGTCACACTTGTTCTACCCTACAAAGATTACCAATATACGTTTTTACCATTCTCATGGAGGAGTATGAGAATACATTGAAAATGATTTTAAAGATTTTTTTTAAAAACTTTTTGATGCAAAAATATCCATAATAGACCCTTCCCAGGGAATAAAAAAATGAAAGTAATTTCATTTAAATGATTTTTTTTAAACTTTTCATCAAAAAAATTCGTTACTTTAATTATTTTGCTAAAATCAAACTCATCCCTATACTTTCATAACTTTTGTATCATTTTCACTGTCTTAAATAGATTATTCTGGAAAAATTGAAATCTTTGGATTAATTTCATTTTTTTGCATGATTTTCATCAGATAATCTTAATTTTTCTGAAAAACTATAATAATAACAGTACTTTCATTGTTTTTGCATCATCTTCATTCCATTAAATTCTCTATTCTAGAAAAATTAAAACCATTGCACGAGTTTTAGTTTTTTCACATTATTTTCATTAGATGATATTCAGTTTTTCACAAAACTTTAGTCATTACAGTATTTCATTATTTTTACATCATTTTTATTGTATTAAATCCTGTATTGTTGAAACATTAAAATCACTGCATTAGTTTCATTTCTTTTGCATCATTTCCACTTTATTAAACTGTCTATTGTTAAAAAATCGAATTCATCGGATTAGTTTCATTTTCTTGCATCGTTTTCATCACACGATCTTGATTTTTTACAAAACTATTATAATAACAGCACTTTGATTATTTTCGCATCATTGTTACTCCATTAAATTCTTTATTGTGGAAACATTAAAATCATCTCATTAGTTTCATTACTTTTGCACCGTTTTTACTTCATTAAGTTGTCTATTCTTAAAAAATTGAATCAATTACATTAGTTTTATTTGTTTTTCATCAGGTAACCTTAACTTTTTACAAAACCATTATAACAACAGTACTTTCATGACTTTTGCATCATTTTTATTCCATTAAATTGTTTATTCTTGAAAAATTAAAATCATTGCATTAATTTCATTACTTTTACATTATTTCCACTGCATTAATTTGTCTATTTTAAAAAAACTGAATTAATTGCATTCGTTTTATTTCTTTTTCATCATTTTTATCAGGTAATCTTGATTTTGTTTTGCAAAATTATAATAATAAGAGTACTTTCATCACTTTTGCATCATTTTCATTCCGTTAAATTGTCTATTCTTGAAAAATAAAACTCCCTGCATTAGTGTTGTTACTCTTAAATTATACATAATAGACTCTCTTTTTGTTGCTGGGTTAAGTGCAAATTTATGACATAGTTTTTACGATTTGCACATCATTTGACTTCTAGTCTGAATTACTATTGAATACTTGAAGGGGAGAACGAAGATATTTGAAGAATATAATAATGTTTATAGTATATATCTATATGACAACTAATTTGGGATTTGAGAAGAAATAGTCATCAATGAATTTACTAGAAGCTTTCTAACAAATTGGGATAACGTATAATAATAAAATCTGTAGTACTCAGTTGTATTTACGACAGTTTCTCGATCAAGTTAATGGGTCTAATTGGTACAATCTGGCCAGATAATCCAATGAAGATAGAATCAGAACAGATGATGTTGACTGGTGAAGATTGATTGGCGACATCGATGTTTACTGCAAGACATTTCCGGATGATGAACTTTTCCACATAGATCACTGTCTCCATGTTTGAATTATTACTATGTTGTATTGCACGAATAAAACCCGCTTCTAAATTACCTTGACCATCTTCAAAAGCAACACATCCATCATCAAGCATTTTTCCATCTGATACTGTAAATCTGACCTTGCCAACGAAGAGAACTTTATAAAATGGATGAGATATTTTACAATGTAGCTGATGTTGAATAGATAAACTTTCACATTCATCCAATGGCCTATGGACAGATAAATAAATGGATCCAATGATGATTTTTCTATGCTTGTAAGACACTCTTGTTTCTTGAATGCATTTATTCCTGTGTAGAATAATTTTAATGGCTGGTTGAAGTCATTTCGTTCAATATCAGCTATTGCTATACGAATAAGAGCAACATTGCTTCTGATTTCTTGTGCATACATTCGAGTTCCATGAACTGATGAAGCAATGATGCATAAAATGAAAGTATAGACGAAAGATCTTGAAAATGGAAATATATTTATTACCCAAGATACTTTCAAATGAAAACGTGGAATAGTTCTGAAGGGGTCCGAAATCCTCAATGGTTCTTGATACGTGCGTGACACTATGGACCACCTGTGTGTGGTGACGAACGGTATAGATTGAAGGAAATTGTTGTACGAATACATCTAATAAGTATTTTATTTCAATTACTTGACTTTGTTTCAAGCATCGGTTTTCAGTGAGGTGCATAGCAATCGAGAGTAATTCCAAATCTATGAAAATAATTACATTTATATCGGTTGGTTAAAAAAGACTTCAAAAAATCATTAAAAAAATGTTTAGATAACATTCATCAAAATAATGCGATGAATTTGATGGAATGGAATATTTTAATATGAATCATAGAATTATTTTAATTTGTTTCAGATTAATAGTACTCATTTGATTAAACTCATATAGTCATTAAAGAAAAAGTCCAAATTTCCTCATTTATATCATATTTTTTCAAAATAAGTTTTTCTCCTTCCTGCCCAGGGAATAAAATGATGAAAAAAATACTATGACTTTCATGAATTTTACATCAAAAGTATGAAAAAAATGGCATTTCTGATGATGAAACGGACATTTTCTTTGATGTTTTTCAATTTCATCGGTGACATTGCATGAATTTGATTTTTTTCAAATTCATGACATTATTTTGATGAAAATATTTATTTTCATCGATGAAATCGAAAAACATCAAAGAAAATGTCCGTTTCATCATCAGAAATGCCATTTTTTTATTTTTTTATACCCGGGGTGTAGAAACTTTTGCTATTGTTGCTTTCTCTAAGTTTAAGCATCAACAGTAAAATATTCACGTTTGTAGTGTAATTCGTTTAACTCTTCTCGAAAAGCAAATATTCCAAATAATAATAGAGTGCGTAGTTCTGAACCTTTGTATTTAAAAAAAAATGAGTGGACGAGGTATTCTAGTTGTATTGGATGGATGATGAATTTTGTCTAATGAAGCTTGAATACTTTCCATTTTATTTTTACATGACCCC